GCCATGCAAGGAGCAAGCATTCAGGGTGGAGGCCAGCCTGGTGGCTTTAGTCCTGGCCAGAACCAAGTCACTCCACAGGACCATGAAAAGGTAAGCAGTGCCGTCTGTCTCCATATGCACAAATCTTTTGGATTCCTCTCTTCACAATTACCACGTGGAGATTCTGGGTCTTCAGAGTCCGTTTGAAAGTGATGTTTACTCTTAGAACTCTTTATGATCTTGTTACCTGAAAATTTGTGAGCCTCGTCCTAAAATTCTTAAATGGATGTATGTAAATGGCAGCTTATCTTTCACTTCAGGCTTATCTGCCAATAGCAGTTTTTTTGTGCAGGCTGGATTGACCTGAAAATCCAAATCCCTTTCTTCCTCCCCTTTCTACCTTATCCCTAAAAACAATAGCAGATTCCCCACAAGTATATCTTTCTGTTTCTATATTTGACCATTGTGGGGAGCTCATGTCTGATGGAAAAGCTCAAACTTGTGAAAAGGAGAGACTTTCAAAACAGGATTAAAAACTGAAGACTTCCCGGGGCTCCTAGGTACCATCTTAGTCTGCAAGAGTCTTGGGTTCATTAAAGTGTCTATCTTGAGTCTTCTCATCTTAGGTTATCTTTGTACTTGTTCTTTTATTGTACCTTTTCTCACCAGCTGGTTTTGGGTTTTGGTTTGGTTTGATTTTTTTCTTTTTTGGCCTGCTATTTTCTGTGTGTAAAATATCCTTCCTTTTTGGACAGAAGGTGGTGGTGTTTTTTTAGCTGCCATCGTTAAAACTCACTACCTTTTTTTTTCTCTGCACAGGCTGCTTTGATCATGCAGGTTCTTCAACTGACTGCAGACCAAATCGCCATGCTGCCTCCTGAGCAAAGGCAGAGTATCCTGATCTTAAAGGAACAAATACAGAAATCCACTGGAGCGCCTTGAAAGGTGAGCAGACGTACCGTGCCTGAGTCGGACAAGCTCCTCGTGCGTTTGGGGTATATACTTTCAACCTGAACTGACAAGACTCTCCTGTTCTCAAGACTCTCTGAGGCCTGCACTCCTCTTGGCTAGACTCTTCACCCTTCCATAGGTCAGCCCGTCAGGATAGAGGAAGGCTATGGGGCATTTGTTTGGGTGTTGAATTGATTATAATCTTTTTTAACCTTTCTTTCCTAATAGCAAAAGTAACATACGATCATTTTAACAAAATTAATCAAATATAGAAATGTAGAAAGTTGAGGGTGAAAAGCTCTGCTTCCTCAATCTCATTGCCCAGACATAACCTCTAAATACAGTTTGGTATGCATCCTTCTAGAATCAGTTATGTTACTTTATTCCAAACTGTCCCATCAAAATGGAGAAAATACAAAGCATTTCAATAAACAGTATAAATATTTTAGTTTCCTTTATTTTATATTGGATATTTTGAGGTTAAACTATTATAGCACACAGTTTAAGGTAGTGAATGTCTCCTGTCACCATCAGTCCCAGTACAGTTCAGAGGTTGCTGGACACTGCTGCCCTTATTTTTCTTGCTTATCAGTCAGGTAAAAAGGGTCATAATCATGTGACTTAACTTGATTATATGTATTGGTGTTTCTTTTTAAAATTTTTTCCCCAATATCTTGTATTACATAAACAAGTCTGTTTTCTAAAAACAGTTTAAAATTCACATTGTTCTAGTATCAGCTAGACTATCACATTTTGAATTTCTGCTTTTTATCCCATCTGTATTATAATTCCCATCCATATATTATCATATAATAGTGAACTCATTTACGCTAATTAGCAATCTTTACTAAATATAGTATTTTAATCCATATTTGTAATATCATTAAAACATCCAAACTGGAAATATGCATCATATCTGTATTTAGACTTCAAGTGACTGCACTCTAATGGGAAGCTATCATAGATGGGTGGCTAGGTAACTTTCAGTATGACCAGTACTTTAACTTTTTAGTCCAGGCACCCTAGGCATTCTATTTTCTTCAGTAAAAGCATAGGCTACCTGTTATATTCAGAGGAACAGATAAAAATTATTCCTCTCTTTTACTTTTTCTAATTTATTTATGCTAGGGAAGGTATTCCCTACAACGTGAGGAAATTATTGTATTTAGATAGTGGAAGTAGAAATCTTTCTGAAATCTTTCTTTATGTATTCTTGCTTACGAGATATCTTATTTCAGAGTCTTACACATAAACCACAGGGCAAGGTTTTTCAGTTTTTTTACCTTTTATTTTGAAGTAATTATAAACTCACAGGAAGTTGGAAAAATAGTACAAAAAGCATCCTGTACCCTTCATCCAGCCTCCCCCAATGATAACAACATCTTGAGAAGCTGTTGTACAATACCTTTTTGGTTTGTAGTACAAAACCAAGAGATTGACATTGGTACATTTCTGTTAACTAGACTACAGACCTTATTCAGTTTTCACCATTTGTTTTAAACCTACATTAATGTGTTTGTGTGTTGTCTGTGTGTAGTTCTAGGCAATGTTATACAGGCAAAGTCTTAATGTGTATTTGCTGGTATTTGTGTATACTGTAGCCAAAATGTTGGTTCTCCTTCCATCCTGTACCTCGCTAGTTGTGATCCATCTGTGCCACCACTGACAGGCTTATGTAGTGTTACCATTAGATCAGTAGTTCTCAACCAGACTCAGTTTTGCCCCCTACTGGACATTTGGAAATGTCTGGAAACATTTTTGGTTGTCATAACTTCAGGGAGTACGGTGTGCTACTGGCATTCAGTGGGTAGAGACCAGAGATGCTGCCAAACATCCTGTAATGCACAGGACATCCACCGTAACAAAGAATTTTCTGGCCCCCAAATGTCAGTAGTGCTGAGGTTGAGAAACTCTGCTGTAAGGGATGATTATTTTTGGGAGGCAAGAAGCAAATACCTTCGGAATCTGTCCCTGCTGATTTGCTTTGATGCATAGCCTCCCTCCTCCAGCCTTTTAATTAATTTTTTTCCTGGCGTTTGAGGAAGAGAACTTTGTCTCCACTTCTAATGGCTTTCTCCCAACTTTTCCTTACAGGTTTTCAAAAATACCTGGCAACAAATCTGGAAATTAATTCCATAACTTGGTTGAAATGTTGCAAAAAGATGACTTCTGCATCCTAACCCTTGAATGACTCAAATTGGTGCCAGGTGGAGGACTCCCATCACCTTCTCTCAGAACAAAATCAGTTCATTCTGTTGTCTTAGTTTGTATATTTTCTGTAACTTGAAATAAACTTTGAACACAATTTTAGTATACTGCAAATTGATATACATGACCTTTTTGCTTTTAAAAAGCTGAACACCAAGGGTGAAACCTTAGATGTGTTTTCTACCCTTATCGCAGTATTGTACTTTAATATATTGCCATAGCTCTGTTTTTCCTTTTAAGTTAACCATTTATTCTTCTCGGTAATATTTGAGGATTTCTCAGAAACAGTGTTTTCTGGAACCTAGTTTTTGCTTAGTTTGCTTCCAGCAGGCATAAGATTTGCCTTTTGAGAACTTGCTAGAACTTCTGAGTCTACTAGGGGAAAATAGCACGTGCTTAGAGCTGTAAAATGGTTAGAAGGCCAACAAAGCAAAGAGCCTAACAAACAGAGCAGTGTATTTAGTTTAGAAAAAAATCCAAATATCAAAGTAAGTGCATTTTTATGTCAATAGCAAGTCTATTCACATGCATAGTTCAGAATTAAGACAAAGATGTATTAGCACCGGTTCAAGTGTGTCAACAAAACAAGAGACTGTTGACATTTACTTGTCTATTCTAAAACTCTTCAGTCTGGATAGTCAACTTTAAAAGTTAAAAAAGCCACTAATTTTTCATATGTTCAAGATGAAATACAAACTGAACAGAAGTCAAATGAGCAAAATACATTTCATCCTATCTTCTAGAGTTCACTAACCTACAACCCTACCCTGTAACCAAATTTATTCTGTGAAATTAAAACAGAAAACCCTAAGACTTTTACATTCTTCTCATTTATTTTAAGAGGACCAAATGCAGAGCACAAGCAGTCAGATTGTCCATTAGGCCTTCCCCTTGCCTGCTTCCTTGCAGATAGGTATGAACATAATTAGTGCCACTAGCTCTAACCAATGGCTCTTCCAGCCTACTATTCTCTCTCATGGTGGCATTAAGGAGGAACGTGTTTTCTCTCCATCAGGCCAACCTCAAGAGGTTAAGAGGTGCCTTAGTAATTAGTAAAGTTCCACTGGAACTACTCTTGAGCCTATTTATATTCTCAGAATCCTATCCCCTGGGTTAGGATTATGGTCAAGTGAATTAAAAGCCTTCCATAGGCTTAGAGAATGTAATAGCATATTGCTTACGTGTCAAGCAAAAGAATGCCAAGGTAAGATAACTTTATGAGAGACATTGAAATTGAGGGATTTTCTACTCTGATATATCAAAATTTACAACAAAAATTGGCTGAATAAGAAGATACTTCATATTACAACCTAGGAAGAAAAACATGCTCAAAACAGCTGAGGAGTTTTCTGGGTATCCTGCTCATCCCCAATTCGGGCGTGGATGTTGATCATGCTTGGGATTTATTATCATTACCTTTTCTGCTTGCTGCCATGAATATTGTAGGCCTTGATATGTTGATTTTAGCAGCAGTCATATCTTGAAGTGTCAATATATTTAGACATTGAGACCAAGAGTGAAGCCTTTCTCATTAGGAACTCATTATAAGTTTCAAGGAACACTAAGATTCCAAATCAAAGTCATTGAAGATCAAATTATCATTTGGTCAGCAGTTGTCTACTAGGAACCATACCGTCAAGGTTCCTTTGTGCATTTTCCTAAAACCTTATTAAATTAATTTAGATAGCTGAAATCTGGGAAATTGGCAACAGCAGGGGTACCCCAATCTATTCCTATAGAAACACTCAGTATTTTTTACTGATGTCCAATTAGTAAATGAAACACAATTAGCTACCATGAGTTCATGACCTATCTTTACTTTGTTCAGACTAGTGACTGAAAAAATTCAATCTTACTAATGCTTCAAGTCATATAGGTTTCTGGATAATTAGAAACAACCATTTATTCAATCTTGGTCACTTACTTAATGGTAGAGAAATAGGTGCTATAATGCTAATCCAGTAGAAACATTCTTATAAATTTATAATGAGTTGAATTGTCTTTGGGCACAATGAAGTGTGTTTTTTCCTTCTTTTAAGGGCCTCAGTCTTCTTTCCTCCTACTGATTCACTGTGACTACTAATATCCCAGAGCCGAGTGTATGGGAGAAATAAAAAGCATTTTGATAGGAGAAAGAAAAGGCATTTTGCCTATGTCATTAGGTAATGATTCCTTAGTGACTAGGTAGGTAGGAGCCCAAAAAATGTTATCAAAATTCTAAATTATCTTTTTTTAAAACTGGATGTTAATAAACTCCCTTAATAAAAATGGCAATAAAGAACCCCTGTTGACTGACTAAGTCATCCTAAGATGGAGTTCGAGTTTTCACAATTATTTTTAACAGAACAATGCAAACTAATGACAATATAGCTTTCAATTCTAATAATTTCAATTACGATTAACACATTTGCAAGATTTTCTTTCCCAAATGGAGAACCCAGATAAAATAACAAATCATTTGTTAAGCAAAGAAGAAAATCCTTCATTTTTTGACAAGCAAAAATAAGTAAAGCATAAATTGCTGTTCACACTGGATAAGACCATGTTTAAAATAACAGTACGAATGTACATAGTGTTATATAGGGATGGGGTTCTTGGTAATTTTATGTTCGTTGTTTTATTATTTATGCTTATTATGTTTTGTCATTAATTCTTCAATAAATTTTTATTTAAAAAACCATCCTACTTAGAAATCTTCTTTGTGGGTAGGAGGGGAGATTATGACCCAAAGTCCAGGAGATGGTAACACTTGGAATCAACAAAATCACCTGGGCTTAAGTTGTATAATTGTCAGCCACGTCTGCTATCAGGCCTTGCTGCAGTCATGGCATTCCAAAAGGATTTACAGTTCTTTTCCCAAGAAAGGATCCATGGGCTTTGAGAGTATCATGACTCCTGAAGTGCGTGGGTTCGTGAAAGCTCAGTGACAACGAAGTTGAATCCAATTTAAAAAGAATGCCAGGGAGTCAAGGCTTGAGAGGCACATTATTATCCTTCAGTGGCAGCTGCCCAAAGCTGACCAGACCAAGTAAGTTGTTGAAGATACAAAGGAGAGACTAAATGCAGATTACCGTCCTTATTCCTGTAATTCAGAAATTTTCTTTGTTGAAGTAGAATTGAACCTTCCTAGGATCCACACTGGAGTATTGGTGACAGCGTTTGCACAGGCTCTTTGCCAAAGTCTGAGGACCACATAAGAAAACTCCCACCACAGACCTGCAGGAATAGAACAATAGTGAGGACTAGGATGCAACAAGGCTGCTGATGTGGTTAGAGAGAAGGGAGAAAGGGCCTCTGCTAGGCCTCTACTCCTCCTAACAACCTTACATAAAAATTCCCTTGTTGACGCGCTCTCACATTCCTCATGGTAGTTTTCTCATCTTTTCTGCTTGCTAGCCTCAAATGTGCTCCCAGCCCTTATCACTCTCAGCATTCAGCCTTTCCTAGTCTACTGAGAACAGACACTCAGGAGATGTAGTATGGTGTAGTAGTTAAGCGCTCGACTCTGGCGCCACGCTGTCTGGGTTCAAATCCCAACTCTGACACTTGTCCCAACTGTGTGACTTTAGGCAAGTTTCTTAACCTCTGTTTCAGTTTTCCTATCTGTAAAATGAGGATAAAAATAGTACCCACCTCATAGGGTTGGTTTGAAGTTTAAACGAAAAACAGATAAAGCAATTAGAAAAATGCCTGCCACATAGCAAGTGTATACATGTTAGTTGCCATTAAAGCCATCCATTATGCGCTTATCCTTACTTCAAAATCTCTCACACCGAAGAGGTGGTGGTCCTTCTTGCCAAGGATAATCTTTCTAACTATGCTCTGGGTCTCACCCTTTCCTTCCTTCTTTCATACTTTCCTCTCCCCTCTTTTTTACTTAATTGAGATAGACTTCACAGATCATAACATACACCCTTTTAAAGTGTGCAGTTAGTGCTTTTTAGTATAGTCACAAAGTTGTTCAACCATCGCCACTATCTAATCTGAGAACATTCTCACCATCCCAAAAAGAAACCCCATACACGTTAGCAGTCACTTCCTATTTCCTCCCAACTGCACCCCCAGGCCTAGACAATCAAATCTACTTTCTGTCTCTAGATTTGCCTAATCTGAACATTTAATATAAATGGAATCATACAATATGTGACATTTTGTGTCTGGTTTCTTACACTTAACACTGTTTTTAAGGTTCATCCATGCTGTAGCATGTATTAGTACTTCATTCCTTTTTACAGCTGAATAATATTCCATTGTGTGGATAGACCACATTTTGTTTATCCATTCATCTGTTGATGGACACTTGGGTTGTTTCCATTTTTTGTTTACTTTATGTACATTCGTGTACAAGTTTTTGTGTGGACATATGTTTTCATTTCTCTTGGGAATATACTTAGGAGTGAACTTGCTGGGTCATGTGGTAACTCTACATTTAACATTTTGAGGAAACGCCAGTTATCCCAAAGTGTTGCACTGTTTCACATTCCGACAAGCAATGTAAGAGGAACCCTCCTACAATTTCCCCACTTTCTTTCCAACTCTTATTGCCTATTTTGTATTATGGCCATTCTAGCCCTCTCTTCCCTTTTGTATATTTATTTTACTCCTATCTATCTACTGGCTCTTGTTCTGTTTATAAAAATGCTTAGATTGTCCTTATGCTAAATAGGCATTTCCTGGACCCTGCCACTCCTCCAACACTGTTGATCACACTTCTCTAATATTTCCTCCTTTGGCTTCTGTGACACCACTTCTCCACATTCTCCTGCTTCTCCCCTGGTTCATCTTTCTCCTTTTCCACATAATGTAAGCATTCCTTAATACTCTGTCCTGTGCCACTCTCTCTCTCCTAGCAACCTCATCCATTCTCACATCTTCTACTATGGTTAACTTGACACAATAATTAACATCATATTTGTTGCTTCTATGCTGCTTTACAGTTCACAGAGCATTTTTATATATTGTCTCGCTTAAAATTCATGACAATCTGCAAGTGAGTTGACAATCTGCAAGTGAGTAGAGCAGGCAACTACTAACATAACTCCCATTTTACAGATAAGAAATCTGAAGATCAGGGGACTTTCTAGCTCAAGGTCTCAGAACTAGAAAGTGTCAGAACTAGCATTAGAACCCAGGATCATCTGAATCTGAGTCACTACATGTTCTCACCACTGCCTTCATGAAGCCTTTCCTGATCACTCCACGTCGGCATAGACTTTCCTTCCCTCAGTGTCCATGTACCTGTTTCATGGAGTGCATCATTCTGCCTTGAATTGATTGTATGCATCTCTTATTAAAATGTTTGTTCCTTGAGGGCAAGAACCACATCCTATTTCTCTTTCAACCTCCAATGCTTCTAGAATAGTGAGTGCTAAGCTTATAGAAGGTAAACAATAATGTTTGTGGAATTGAATTGATCTTCACCTGCCAAATTGTTCCAGAAATTTATCTAACACTATCAGCTTAATCTCCTTCCCATTGGGATGGCTGATTTCATGGCACCAGTTTTTCCTGTATGCTCCAGCATGTCTCAAAACCCCTCTAGAAAGACCAAGGTGAGGTCATCAATTAACTAGGTAATACACTCCAAACCCTTGTTACTTTAAGTAGAGGTCATTAAGGCCAAAAACAACACATTTGAATTGTTCCAGTTCTCTATTGTGTTTGGCAATACAGATTGAAACTGAGTCTCCTTGCCTCACTGTATGAATGAGGCTTCCTGGGACAGCAAATACCTCTCATCAATTATAAGATCATGACCCTTATTTGGCTAAAACCCTAGATGGAATTTCCTCAGTTTTAAGCAAGAATCTCAGAATGGTGCAAATAGTTTCTGCCCCAGAGATCTTTTCCCAAGAGTGTTCAACAGGCTGTATTACCTTTCCAAAACCCTAACTCTGCAAACTCAACTAACTAGAAGAGCATACACTTACTTGGGATGGGTGGTAGCTATTCTAGAAAACTCATTGTCCCACATGGGTCTCCCAAAGAAGGTTTTCTGTTTCAGACCAGTCAGGATGTCAGTGGCCTTGTCAAAGTTCAATGCTGCATGACCAGCCTGGAGTCAGAGAAATAAGAAATTAGAAAAAGCCGTCCTGATAGCTGTCTCTTCCTTCAGCCACTTTTAAACTTGGGTGTGAGGGCGAGGGCAGGTAGGAAATCATAAGAAATAATTATTTCCAATCAGCATGCACTATCTTTTGTCTAACATTCATCTTGTATCTAACATAGGAATTAGTGTGTTGTTCGAACTCACAATGTTGCTGTTCCATCCGGTGAGGAAGAGACGGTAGTTTAGAAAACCCACTTTGCCTAATTCCTCCATCTCCTGTTCCAGGGAAGCCAATAGGTCATTGAACCAGGCAAAGGCACCTGTCTCCCTGCAGATCCAGTAGAAATAGATCTGGAATCAGCAAGAAAAAACATAACCTTACTAAGTGCCCTTTACGATGTACACTGCGGTGATGTGATTATGTATATATACTCTATATTTGTTGATCAAGTCTAAGGGTGACCTGAAAAATCACCTCTACAAAGCCACAGACCGTAAGCAGCATGAATGTCCAGAGTCCTGACAACTTCCCTTATAGAAAGAGATCTCCAACATCATCTTTGGTTCAAGGCGATTTTAAACTCCAAATTGAAAATGAAGACCCTGTTCTTATGGTAAATCTGTAGAAGCAGATGCCTTGGCAGAGAGAAGTGATCACTCACTCTCATAACTCCAGGGAGGGTTATCAATTGTAAAGAGCTTAGCCCATGAAAGCAACGGAACTGGAAGGCCCAGAGCAGATGAAAAGTGGTATGCAGGAGTGTACCGTTTGTGTTTTGAGGTTGTGATCAGCCCGCCGGAATTTGTACCAGATGGACTTCAAAATGGAAGCAAAAGGGGTGACCCCAATTCCTGCTCCGACCAACATAGCCACTTCATACTGGAAAACATCCTCACTGACAGTGCCAAAGGGACCATCCACCTTAATCCTGGCAGAAGACAGAAGACAATGGGCAAATGAAGTCTCACTTCCACCCCCAACCTCAAATATCCTTCCAGAGACATAGCTGTTCCCACGGTTGACTTCTGCCAATTTATTTTAATCATATTCTATTGTACCAGACTTAAGGTTCAATGAGGAATTGCTTTCTCTTTTCTGCCTCTCTGCATCCTGATCTGACTTTCTGCTGCTCTCAAGGACCTACCTGGGAAATGGTGAATGCTGTTGTTCAAAAGCCCTTATGAGATTTTCTGTCCAGTCCCCCACTGCTCGAATATGAATGGAGAAGAAGTCTTCCTCTGGAGCAGAAGTCAGGGTAAAGGGATGCCACTCCAGGTAAGAAATTGAGGGGCAATTAACAAAAATATACTGTCCCACTTCCATGCTGAAGCCACTCTTGTTCATCTGCAATTCCAAAACTTTGGATGGGTGCATGACAACCTATGAATGAAGCACAGAGACCAAAGGAGGCAAATTCAAATGGCGACAGGGGCAGGCAGATAAAGTAGATGAGTAAAGCTGGAGGGCTGGTGACGGTGGTGAACTGCAAGCACAAGTCCTTTCTAAAGGGGGCAGCAGTTACTTAGTCCAGACAACGGTTGCACTACGGAACCACGACTCAGCGTTGTCAGGTTGCCTGATTCCAAGAGAAGCCAGAAATGCCATTTTTTAATGTGAAAGCCGCCATCCAGATTTTTAAATGTTAGCAACCAATTCGACTTTTTGTTTTTATAATTTTATTTATTTATTTTTTCCCCCAAAGCCCCAGTAGATAGTTGTATGTCATAGCTGCACATCCTTCTAGTTGCTGTATGTGGAACGCGGCCTCAGCGTGGCCGGAGAAGCAGTGCGTCGGTGCGCGCCCAGGATCCGAACCCAGGCCGCCAGCAGCAGAGTGCGTGCACCTAACCGCTAAGCCACGGGGCCGGCCCTAATTCGACTTTCTAAACAATCAGTGTGTCAGCCAAACAAAATATGTCTGTGGGGCTAGATCTGATGCAGGCCACCTGTTTGCAGCCTCTGACATAGACCCATGCTGATGATTTCTGCCAAACCGCTCTTTCCCATAGTTCTGTCCAGCATTGGAGGAACTGAAGTATGTTGCCTCCAAGTTCTTTTATATTCCCTTCAGGGTGACAACATGGTGATTTATTTCTTTTTTTTTTTTTTTTT